TTCTTTTAGGAGTTGGGTGTACTGCTTGGCCTTTTTGTCTTTTGTTAATAGATCAATGTTAAAATCTCCAAAGACGATTGCTCTATTTCTACTTTCGAGCTGAGATTCGTATGTTTCGAGAATTTTTTTAAAATCTGTGTGCCTTGGATTGTATACAATACCCACTTCTATTGCGTATCTTTCTAGTTTTATCCATAAATAGTTATTTCCGGCTAAGTATTTAGACTCCGATAGGGTATGCTATTAAGCTATTGTGGACGTAAGCTGAAACTCCTTCACCACCAGAATCAGTCCTGTAGTTGTAGTAGTGTGTATAATTAGGGAGTTGAAATTGCAGAGCTTGAGTTTCTGTGCGGAACCATGTTTCCGTTAACAAAATAACATGAAGGGTGTTTGGTATTGCTTTTAAGATGCATTTGAGCTCGTCAAATTTACCTTTCTTGCAAATACTGCGAGCATTCAGGTAAAGAAATGTAAGCCGTGATTTATTGACTGGAAAATTTTTGTAGCTATCTAGTGTTTCATAAGTATTACCCTTTGCAGTGGCATGAATGCTTTCTAATTTTCTTAGTTTTTTGAAGTGGTTTTAATTATTGTCGGTATTCCGTTGATTGCGATTTTTTGCTGGATTATACTTCCTGATTCTAAAAAATTTTACTGGCTGAATTTTTACACCTAGTAAGGAGACGATATTAAGTACGTCAATCTCATCTTTAGCTATTCTTTCCTCTGTTCCCGAAGTAGTTGGTTCTGGCAGGCCTACAAGTATTATGTTTTTTTCTCTAGTATGACGATTTTGTACCTCTTGAAGTATTTGCTCATCTAAACGTAGTTTGTCTTCTAAGTTGAAAGCAGTTTGAGATAATTTTTTCATACTACTCACGTCAGTTTCGAGTGAGTTTATTTTCTTTTCGCCAAGAGATATTGATTTTTCTAACTTAGCTACGTAATTTTTAAGGTCTTTTTGCTCTGTCAACACGTTAGATGCCGAGGCTTTAACGTCGCTGATCTGTGTCATAACCTCGTTAACATTCTCCCGCACAGCGTTTATAGTTTTTTCATTAGAGGTCTTTAAGTCAGAAACTTGGGCTTTTATATCATCAATGGTATCTTGCATTTTGTTCATGATTTGCTCATTAGATCCAACATATTTTTCCAGTAAGAGACTCATTCGGTTCATTTCTGATCGCATCACTTTTAAATCATTTGAGCAACTGCATTCAAGGTCATCTGGTTTTTTACGTTTCCGAACGGTGATTTGCGCTTCTTCTATATTTAATTTCGATAAGTCGGGTTGTTTTTTTTTTTTTTTTTATAAGATAAGGGTGACAAACGAGCACACGGTCCACCTGATGGCAAGTGGCCGCTGCGGCCCATAGACATCTACATCTATCCTCTGTTACAAATCAAAATGTAGATGCGTTGTCACCCGTGAGGACCAAGATGGAATGCCTCATTTCCAGTAAAAAAATGATCCGGTCGCGCTATTTGTTATATTGGTTAAAGTGGATAGAGGCCGGGTTGGCGATATTCATGTTTGTGACGTCTTACTTACCCAACTTCACACGAGTTATAGCCAGCACGTGCCCTTTTCTCGCGTTGGTGTTGTGCAGAGCGTAATATTGTAAGTAGCGCAGTCGCTTTTCACAACTTTGAGTTTAAATTGCACTGTAGCACAGAATTGATTCGAATGGCACTAATTTGTGTATTTTTTAGAAAAAATTGACACACGTCTGCTCATTAATACTGACGAACGACGATTCAAGCGGACCAGCTAAAGTTTTATATTTCCCAATGGGGCAATGTAACATATGTTTATGCCCAAAATTGGTAATTTTGAACGCCATCCAATCGCGTTCGAGCTGTCGCGTCACCCGATGGTATGTAGGTGAGGTAAACGCCGCCAGGTGCGGCGGCCGTGTGCGGCTTGCAGTGGCTCGACGCGTCGGCGAAGAAGTTGAGTAGCTCGCTGGCCGCGATGCGGTGAATCCGCGTGTCTAGGTTATCGCGGCCGAAGTTCACGCGACCGTTGTAGGGTCCAGATGGTTAGATTTAGTGTGTGTTACTTCACTACGGGGATATGTGAATTTTGCAATATTTAACTTGCTCGGGTGATGCGGTATTTCGCACGCGCGCACCGAGTAAATATACGGTCTAGGATTCGAACCGCGCATTCCTTGTTCGAGAGCGTCTCCCGGTTGGCATTATAATTGTGCCGTCGCGTTAAGTGCCCTTTTTTGTGTGTTGGCTGGTTTGTTAGTTTACGTGTCAACGAGGCGTATTTTGAATTCTTATCGCGGCGTGGTGTTAGATGTCGAACGAAGGAACTTAGTTGTGTTTAACGCTGAACCGTGTAACTCATGAAGATAGCGCGTTAGTTCCCTATTTATAATTAGGCGATAAGTGAATCCGGGACATTGAGTGTCGAACTTTGAACTACTGTCCGTACTGTGTCGGGTATCACGTGTTCGATTCTACGATGAATGTGGAATTAGGCGAGAAGTTAGTTAAATGTACAATGAAGATAATAGACTGAAATAGTGACAATGAAGAAAGAAATGGTCCAGCGGTGGAGCCTGCTGGAGCGATGCAGCATTGTGGGGCAGCCTGGAACTCGGCCGCTGCTGGTCTCCTAAGCTGGTCCAGGCCTCAGACACATACACATCACTAAACACTACTTGCCATGCACCTCACACCCACTTACGGCCTGACCGAGCCTTAGGGCGATCTTAGAGTCGGAAACAGGTACGTACTATATTTTTCTAGCATTCTCCCGTATAGTTTAGTATGATAGGACATTCTTCCATATGGCCATTGGGCCCGACCTGCGGCTGTTCGTGGAATCTTCTGCTCATGGGCCCCGGAAGATTCGACCTTTGCAGGGGCAGCTGTAGGCCGTAACAATTTTGAAAACAATAGGGGGTTTTCGATAACATTCATAAAAAAAAACATAAATATAACACCGGAGTCACTGGAGGATTATGGATGGTGGCAGGAAAATATCAACTGCACCAATCCGATATTCGTGAACGATCCAGAAATCTTCTTGACAACGAATGCATCTGGACTGAAAACAGATTGTCCATTGGATCACCTTTAATAGATTGGCACCTGAAGCCCAGCATAACCAAAGTGATCTTCAAGAAATGGGGAACGCCCCAGATACACTTGTTTGCCACGAGCAGGTTCAAAGTGGTACAGCAGTATGTGACGATAGAAGCCGAAGACCAAGAAGCATGCTTCATAAATGAGTTCAGCAGGCTATGGTTAGTAGATCTGGCGTGAGTATTCCCGCCGCCGCCGTTGATTCCCAAGGTCTTGCAATATCTAAATTCGTCAAAAGGTCTTTTCTTGGTAGTAGCGCCCAGGTGGGTGAAGACCTTTTGGAGAGGAGACCTGAAGGCCATGAGCACGGCAAGACCGCTTCAGCTGTGGAACCTGGAGGAACACCTAGTAGACATGACAACGGGACAGCCTCCGCAAAATGCAAAAGACCCTTGCTTGAAGGTTTGGAGGATACGGGGTGGAGTCAATTAATTTCGGGCCTAACGGATGAAGATGTCAATCTCTTATCTTCAGCGTGGAGAGAGTCCACGTCGAAGACGTATTCTTCAGCCTGGAAATAATAGTTGCATTGGTGTGAAGAGAATAACGTCATACCGAGTAATTCAACGCTGCGGGATTTGGCAACCCACTTCGAGACTTGTATAGAGCAAAAAAGCTGGCCAAGCATAGACGATTCCAGTCAGAAAATCGGTAATCAGTACATTCGTTGATCCAGAAGGAGACGGAAAGCTGTGCTCTCATCCACTGGTGAAGTCCATGCTAAAAGCAATTGGCAACAGCGAAGCGAAAGCGACATCCCCAATTAAGGAAGTTTGAAATATTGAGTCAATGATCAGCTGGCTAAAGAATAATCCTCCAGATGAGAATAGCATTTTACAAGTGTCAAGGCACACTGCAATTTTATTAATGTTAGCTTCAGATCGAAGGGTCCACGATCTTACACTCCTGTCCATAGATCCGGGTAAGGTCGTGTTGAAAGAGAATTCGATCATTTTAATTTTTTGGCCATGTTTTGGATCAAAGACAGATTCAGTAACCCACTGAAAGTCCGATTGGAGATTAATTAAAGTGGTTCTACTAGACTAGAGTTTGACCTTGTATATTGGGTTAATCGGCTAATAAGCGTGTCAGAGAGTAGAAGAAACGTAGTTCCGGGCTTCATGAACCTCTTAATTACAACCAGAGGCAAGGTAAAGGCGACTTCAAGGGCGATAATTGCTGGATGGTTAAAAACAATGTTCGTTGCCTTGAAGATTAAGGCGAGTCCAGGCTCAGTAAGGTCGGCAGTATCGTCGTATAACCTTGACGAGAATGTTGATTTGGAAGAGATTTTGAAACGAGGGAACTGGGGCGGTCCAAATAATTTCTTTAAGTATTATTATAAGGTTGTATTAATAACTGTTTATAGTAAAGTTAAATTCAAGGTCGGAGTAGTTAAGGTTAATCAATAAAGTATAAGTTCTCTTTCAAGTGCTAGTGTTTTTTTCCTTAATAATATATAATAATAATAAGAAATAACATATTAAGTTCTTCAGGTCACAGTAGGCTGTAGGTTGTGAGCCGGCAGATCCCAAACATCTCTCCGAAAGGTCAAGTCGAAGGCACAGACCTGAAATATACGTTTTCTACCCCGAAGGGAGGAAAACGAATATTTCGGGTCTTGCCAAAGGCTTGACCTGAGCAAGTCCTTGCCGGCTTCTTTCGGGGCTGTACTGAGGAATGCATCCGCGAGCCGGTTGCGCGAGCCGTCACAATCTTCAAGAGGGCCGTAAGGGGGGGACGTAGCCTCTTTCGGAGCCCTCTAGTGGTACATTTGGACAAGAACACATGAAAGGATAAACAAGTCAAGCCTTTGGCAATACCCGAAGTATTCGTTTTCCTCCCTTTGGGGTAGAAAACGTTGTATATTATAATTAAAAGTGGCGCACCATCAGGTAGACGAATCGCATGAGGGCGTGTACTCGTGCACGCCGTACAACGCGCTGGGTTCGGAGGGCGCATCGGCGGGCGTGCGCGTACGTGTGTCGCGCGCGCCGGCGCTGGCGCTGCGCCCGGCGCCGCTGTACCTGGCGCGGCTCGGCGCCTCGCTGGCGCTGCCCTGCGCCGCCGCGCCGCAGCCGCACGCCGCGCCCTCGCTGCGCTGGGCCCGGGTGCGTGCACCCACTACACTTTACTTGTACCAGGCCTGTCTCTGGCCTGCGCCCGGCGCCGCTGTACCTGGCGCGGCTCGGCGCCTCGCTGGCGCTGCCCTGCGCCGCCGCGCCGCAGCCGCACGCCGCGCCCTCGCTGCGCTGGGCCCGGGTGCGTGCACCCACTACACTTTACTTGTACCAGGCCTGTCTCTGGCCTGCGCCCGGCGCCGCTGTACCTGGCGCGGCTCGGCGCCTCGCTGGCGCTGCCCTGCGCCGCCGCGCCGCAGCCGCACGCCGCGCCCTCGCTGCGCTGGGCCCGGGTGCGTGCACCCACTACACTTTACTTGTACCAGGCCTGTCTCTGGCCTGCGCCCGGCGCCGCTGTACCTGGCGCGGCTCGGCGCCTCGCTGGCGCTGCCCTGCGCCGCCGCGCCGCAGCCGCACGCCGCGCCCTCGCTGCGCTGGGCCCGGGTGCGTGCACCCACTACACTTTACTTGTACCAGGCCTGTCTCTGGCCTGCGCCCGGCGCCGCTGTACCTGGCGCGGCTCGGCGCCTCGCTGGCGCTGCCCTGCGCCGCCGCGCCGCAGCCGCACGCCGCGCCCTCGCTGCGCTGGGCCCGGGTGCGTGCACCCACTACACTTTACTTGTACCAGGCCTGTCTCTGGCCTGCGCCCGGCGCCGCTGTACCTGGCGCGGCTCGGCGCCTCGCTGGCGCTGCCCTGCGCCGCCGCGCCGCAGCCGCACGCCGCGCCCTCGCTGCGCTGGGCCCGGGTGCGTGCACCCACTACACTTTACTTGTACCAGGCCTGTCTCTGGCCTGCGCCCGGCGCCGCTGTACCTGGCGCGGCTCGGCGCCTCGCTGGCGCTGCCCTGCGCCGCCGCGCCGCAGCCGCACGCCGCGCCCTCGCTGCGCTGGGCCCGGGTGCGTGCACCCACTACACTTTACTTGTACCAGGCCTGTCTCTGGCCTGCGCCCGGCGCCGCTGTACCTGGCGCGGCTCGGCGCCTCGCTGGCGCTGCCCTGCGCCGCCGCGCCGCAGCCGCACGCCGCGCCCTCGCTGCGCTGGGCCCGGGTGCGTGCACCCACTACACTTTACTTGTACCAGGCCTGTCTCTGGCCTGCGCCCGGCGCCGCTGTACCTGGCGCGGCTCGGCGCCTCGCTGGCGCTTCCCTGAGCCGCCGCGCCGCAGCCGCACGCCGCGCCCTCGCTGCGCTGGGCCCGGGTGCGTGCACCCACTACACTTTACTTGTACCAGGCCTGTCTCTGGCCTGCGCCCGGCGCCGCTGTACCTGGCGCGGCTCGGCGCCTCGCTGGCGCTTCCCTGAGCCGCCGCGCCGCAGCCGCACGCCGCGCCCTCGCTGCGCTGGGCCCGGGTGCGTGCACTCACTACACTTTACTTGTACCAGGCCTGTCTCTGGCGCTGCGCCCGGCGCCACTGTACCTGGCGCTGCCCTGCGCCGCCACGCCGCAGCCGTATGCCACGCCCGCGCTGCGCTGGGCCAGGGTCTGTCTCACTCCGCGCTTTAGGCATGAAAATATACCTACGTTGCGCGGCCACCCACGTGAGGCTAATTCCGTGAGGTTGTCACGTACGGCGCTCGAGCTGACACGCGCTTTACGTTAATTTAAAAATTATTTTTCTCTAATAAGTATTTAGGCATTTGCTTTTTTTGAGTTTTTATTCAAGTATGGCCTCTCAAAAAGCCAAAAGGTACTGCATAGCATACGGGTGCTAAAATAACAATAGCAATGTCGACTTGTCATTCTTTACTGTTCTTAAGGACATTGAAAGATAATATATTATTATTTATAGGTAGATCTAGATAATTAGGTACCTACTTACTGACGCCGTAGTTACAGATTTATTATTTGATTAGTAACCCGACCACTGCTTTGCAATTTTCGATTCTTTCGCGTATAATGCCAATGACCTTAAAATATTATCAGTGTAAGTAGAGCTCCCAGTACTAGTGACTGCTTACTAATGCAAGATCAGCATATACTGGTTATTAGTTTAACACTTAGTCGATAAAAGAAAGAGATTGAAAGTAGCAGCACTTCTCATTGCCACTCTTTCATTAATAATGAAGTCGCGTGTTGCATGTTTGTAAATAGCAAAAAATGGGAAACATACAAGTGACGGCTTCACGGCGCAGTGGCTTAGTAATGATTTGCAACTCTAAGGGCCGCGGTTTCGAATCCCGGACGGAACAACTTTTATTTGCCAACAAATAATTTTTCTGGGCCTGTTCTAAGTATGTAAACTGTCCTTGTGATACTGGAGGAAATCCTAGTTTAGAAGTAACGTTTTTTAAAAGACAGGAAGAGAGACAACTCACGAAATGAAAAAATTTGTACAAGCGACTTCAATATTAATACGCATTATTAAGGATAACTTCAAAACTACTGGTCAGATCTTGATCAAATCTATATGGGATATGCAAATTATAAGAACCAGCTTTCGAATAAAAATAAAATCATGAAAATCGATTCACCTAGAAAAAGTTCTGAGGTAAAAAATACAGTCGAATTGAGTACTTCCTCCTTTTTTGAAGTCGGTTAGCAATGGTAAGTAGGTAAATTATCTGAGTTTCAAAGAACTTCACATTGTTATAATCTTAATTTTCCTCGATGTTGCATATTAACCTTCCTCACATTGAACAATAATGTTTTTATTATCAGCAAATTGATAGTTCCGTGGCGCAGTGGCTTAGCAATGAATTGCAACTCTGGGGCCGCGGGTTTGAATCACGCACGGAACAAGTATTTGTTTGGTCTACAAATCATCGTTCCGTGTCTAGATGTTTGTCCTTGTGCAATTTATGTTTGTTAACTGCCTCCACTATATAGGAGAAAATCCTAGTGTAACGTTTTTTTTTTTAACAAAATAACAAATATAATAAAAAATACTGTATTCTACTATATATCACCGAATATCAAAGGATTCAATTTGTTTTCTCACAACACCTAACCCTACAGTAGAAGCGGTCTTAACAAAGGCGCGTAACGGGCTAAGTAATACAGACACTTGCACGCGGACGTAAGGTTCATTTTGACTTCATACGCGCGCCATTTTAATATAATAATATATATTATATTAAAATGGCGCGCGATAATTTTTTTTGACGATATAATCAGTAGGCTAATTTCACGAAGGTCACTTCCGAGGCGTGCAGAGCATTATGAACATTTGCGACGTTCTAACTAAATTTAAACTCGTAAGTTTGCTATCAGAGAGTGATCCTTCTGTTATTGTACTAATATTTATTCTGTGCTTTTACCAAAAAATCTATTATAATAATTTGTAAGTAATAATTTATGTTAATAGTTGAAAAGTCCTTTAAAAGAAACCTATCTTATTGAATATCCTGGATCTTGGGTCAAAAATATCCAAACCGGAGCTTTTCGTGAACACCTCAGTGTAATGTCGAGGCAATGAAAACCAATCAAGGAATATAGAGTAAAAAATAAATAAATTATGTCACTTCTTTTAAGAACTCAACAATATCCTTTCAAAAACGATAATATTAAAAATAAAAACGAAGTGTGAACGCGTCAAGTATTATATTATAGTCGAATAGGCAGGCACGCACAGTACGCAACTCACTCATAGAAGCAACGAAATGTATAGTATACGCGCACGCACACACAATGATCAAGAGCGGTGGCGTGGAGGGGGCATGGCGGCATAAGAAAGCGTTATGCCGTATGCCGCCACGACATACGAGTTGGTTTTACTTGCTAAGGCGCGCCAATAGATCTATCACATTAATAAGCTTTAGCAAATGTTATGATAATTAAATTAAGTGAAGTCTGAAAACTTTCATTGCAGAAGGATGGCAGTGAACTACCGGTGGGTCGACATTCACTTGATGACGGTAATCTTACGATCATTGATATTGAGGAGGAAGACCGTGGCGTGTACGTGTGCACAGCTACCAACGAGGCAGACGAGGTCTCCGTCGAGACCGAGTTGCTCATAGAGAACGTGCCGCCGCGCGCGCCCTACAACTTAACAGCGCTACCTTCCGTTGATTCAATACACGTGTCGTGGGTTCCAGGTTCGCCTTTTTCTTACTCAGCATATATTTCAAGCGTCGAGGACGACTCAGTCAGTTCTTTTATGTTTCAGGTCACAATGGTCTCGAGGTCGATTACAATGTTTGGTATCGCGAGCGTTCTGTTAGTGAGTGGCGCACTATGAAGATTCTGACAAAGGGTGTTACCGATGCGACGCTAGTGGGCTTGCAACCTTCCACAGAATACGAGTTACGAATATTGTCCCAGGATCACATAGGCGACGGCCTCTTTAGCAAGCCGATCTTCGTTCGTACGCTTGGTACTACGCTTATAATGCAGCTTAACAAGATTTCTGAAAGGCATTTCCTTGAAACATTCTTGATCATTCATTTTAGATCCAGAAGGAGGCGAAGATCAGGCCACCGCGTACGCGGCCTCGGCGACTGAGAGCACCATGACCGCAGACGCCGAGGAGGAGATGGAAGTGACCGTGCGTCTCATCGACGAGGGCGCGCTAGTGCGCTGGAGCCGCGCGCCGCTCGACGACAGCCGCTGCACCGTGCGCTGGTACCGCGGCGACGAGCGCGAGCTGCTCGCCTCCTGGCACACGCACCACGACTATCTCCTGGGTAAGACTGTAAAGAATTAACATCTGTCGGGCAGGGGACTGAGCGCAGTAACAATCTACTCCAGCCTAAAAAAGTTCACTTTTAAACATAGGTCTCCCCTCCCCCAAAGCTATACACGAAAATCGCTTGGCAACGATTTTAAGTATATAGCCGGAAGATTCTGTTGTCCATGTTCTGTTTCAGTTTTCCTCTGTCGCCTCTTTCGACACCCACGGAACGATTTGGGGTATTGGATATTCTTACACCGTCACTACGAAAACGCTTTTACGACTATGCTGTTATAAAATAAATAAAATAGTGATGTCAAATTATGCAATTTAGGTCATACAGGTCATCTAAACAATACTTTAATATTCTATACGACAATAACAAAATTGATGAAGTAGATAACTATACATTTTTAGGAGTAAATATTGATACACATCTGAACTGGAAGGAGCATATTGATATCGTTTGTAAAAAGCTTCAATGATTCGCTTTTGCTTTAAAAAGTGTTAGGCAAAATATACATATCAATTGAAGCTGCTCTCACCGCGTACCATGGCTACGCATCATCGGTGTTCAGCTTTGGGATATTGCTTTGGGGTAACACTGTTGAGGTAGTAAGAGCACTTTTAGTTCAAGAACGATGCATCCGTGCCTTAAGCAACATTTGGTATTTAGATAGTTGTAAACCTTACTTTACAAAATATAATATTCTTCCATTACCTTGTTTATATATCAAAGAAGCATGTCTTTTTGTCAAATCATGCCCCAAGTATTTTAAAACCCGCCAAGGTACTGCAACAAGGCGTTTTAGAAGTAAATATGCAGACCTAATACATTAACCTCCCGGTCATAAAGATATGTATAAGAGAAATAAATATAACATGAGCATGTTATTATATAACATATTACCTATGAATTTAAAAGAAAAAGAAGGAATCTCTTTTAAAAATAATTTCACAAAATGGTTACTGGAAAATGATTTATATAGCCTAAAAGAATATTTAGAATGGAAAAATTAGTTCAATGATTTATGTGATCCACTTATAGATAGTCTTTTGTTTTATGTACGTAAATATAGCACGTCTGTGAGCAGACTAAACACATGTATATTATAGATATTTAAATGAAGACCTTGTCAACTGTGTTTCACGCAAATAAAGAATTTGTATTTGTATTTGTAAAAATGGCTGGTTTACATGATATTTAAGCCTCTGCCTGGCCAAGCTGCATACACGGTTGCAGCTGATGGTGTGACGGCGGCATGGGCTGAATAGCGCGAGGTAGTAATCCACAAAAAGTCGCAATACCTGAATAATATCGATACTTTAGTTTCAATACCAAGTATTTGAGTATTCGATACTTTATTTTACGTTAATTAGCAGGCATCGATACTTTTTGAAGTATTCGATACATTACGATTTATTAAAAACTGGTTATGGTTATGAATTGGATAAGTTATTCACATCACATTATTAGTTTTAGCGAGAAGTTCCGGGTAGCAATTTAATAATGTGATTGCCATATTTATTGGAAGGAAAACGGTTAACTTTACAGGAAGGGGGTTCTGTCAGGCAAGATTGACGTCTCCGTGGCGCTATGGCTTAGCAATGAGCTGCAGCGCCCGGGGGCCGCGGGTTCGAATCCCGAACGGAACAAGTATTTGTATAACCTACAAACAATTGTTCCGGGTCTGGATGTGTGTCCTAGTGCAATTTATGTTTGTAAACTACCTCCACGATACAGGAGAAAATCCTAGTGTGGGGGTAACGTTTTTTAATAAGAAAAAAAGAAGAAAGAAGATGTGATGGAGCAGTAACTTCATTGAATAGCGAAGCGGCTATTCATTCTCGCATCCAAAAAAAAAAATACAAACCCCATTCCTGGTAAATATACAAAACAAAAATAGAAAGAAAACAGCGTTCACAAAAAATCACAGAGATTTGCCGCAAAAGAAAACTGACGTATTCCAAAGACGGGACGAGTAAAAGAAAAAACTACTGAACCTGACTAAAATTACGGTCGCTTAGAATTGGAAGAAGATATGCCTTTGGCATTATATGAATTAAAAGAAAAAGAATTTCTTTAAGGATTGCTCTCAACGAAAGATGTTGAAAGGAAAACAGTGGGCCAAAGCGATAATAGCTTATGGACAATTGAGAGAGGTAAGAGGTTCACGGTACAGAACTTTGGACGAATCCGTGAGATGCGACTAACAACATCGGTTTGCAAAATATTAAAAACATTATTATATAACGAATTTAAAGAACTGCTGCTATTAATTATGGCAAGAAAAAGGAATATGAGATGATCGACGAATTTAGAAACAGGGCTACAGATACAACAAAGTAGACTGTCTGTTGATGAAAATAAACCCAATAATATTTTATTTTCATTCATATGGTAGTGTTCGCGTAAATATAAGAAATCATTATGAAAATAAACCCTTTTTAGCGGCAAGCCTGGATGGTCTAATAGGTAAAGACTAAATGTCCTTATAAAACTGCAAGTATGTCATCTGAAGAAGGAATTGAACAAAAAAAAAATAGACTTGCAAGTTTTAAGACAAAACGTTATAATTAAAATAGAATCATAATTACCAACTACAAGGCTAACTACATATAACTCGTCAAAATTTCTGTTATTTCATTTTATGGAGTCCCAAGGGCTTGCTTTTTCAAAAAAAATTAAGAGGTATGATATATTCTGGGAAAAAATATATCTGTATCCCATATCTGTATTATCAGCGATCTCCAAAATTCTTGAAAAACTATTAAACTCTACACTAATCTCGTATTTAAACAGATATGATATACTATCTACTTCTCAGTTTTATTTAGACAAGGAACATCAACCGAAGACGCGGTTTGTGCACTAAGTTCTCAGGTAGTTAAAAAAGTGGATAACCATAATAAATGTATGACAGTATTCTTAGATTTGCAAAAGGCGTTTGATACTGTTTCTCTTCCTATCCTTATACACAAACTGGAACGTATCGGTATTAGAGGAGCCCCACTTCGACTGTTTAGTGACTATTTGACAGATAGGAAGCAGATGGTCAAATTGGGAGATTATATCAGTGAGAGCACAAACGTGTCGTTCGGTGTCCCTCAGGGAAGAGTTCTTGGACCCACACTTTTCTTAATATATTTAAATGATCTGTGTAACTGCAATCAAGAACGCTAAGATATTCTCCTACGCAGATGACACTGCCGTTGTTTTTACTGGGAATTCCTGGAAGAAGGTTAAAGAGAACGCAGAAAAGGGTCTTGAGAAAATAGGAAAATGGCTGTGTTGTAATCTTCTTACACTAAACACTGTTAAAAGTAGTTATGTTTATTTTTTTTTTTTGCTTTTTAAGGGAAACATACAGTACAATAATAAATTACCCAATAAAACATATAAAAGTAATCCTAAAAACCAATAAAGTTTCCACAGATATCTAATACATAATAAAAGCTTGCCACCACAATATTATGTTGTATAAAAATTAATAATATAAAAGAATAAAACTAGCTAAATGGTATTCATAAATTAAAACATTAAGTAGTAAGTAGTTAAAAGTAACATTATATATACAACTCAAAGTGATACTACCAATTATGTATTAAGTTTTACAATATTTTGTTTGTAACTATCATATTCAAGGTGAAATATATCTAGTTTACAATATTTTAAGTTAAACTTTTTGCATGTACGAGATACAAAATTATTTGAGGCATACCTTGTTTTAACTTTAGGTAATGCAAAAAGAGGTTTATTTCGTGCACCTAACCTGTGACACGCAAGATTCACTTTGCCTAAAAGTAGGGGAGAGTCGATGATATTATGAAGCAATTTGTACAACAACATTTGATCTCTTATATCACGGCGTTTCTCGAGGGTATTGCTGTCTAAGTTATCAATAATGGAGTCTACAGAAGTATTTTATCGCTTTAAGTGACGCAGAAAATTATTGTTGTTGTTTCAATCATTTTAATGTAAACTTTGTATTGAGGATTCCAACATGAAGAACAATACTCAAGTATAGACCGAAGACTTTTTAAAATCTTTTGAGATACGCATAACGAAACCTAGCATTTTATAAGTTCTTTTAGTTACGATATGTGATCTCAGTAACAACTTACTATCCAACTGAACACCAATATCACGCAGTTCATTAACTCTCGTTAGTAAATTATCATCAAGCTTATAATCAAAGAGGATGGGATTATTTGTCCTGGTAAATGAGATAATGTTTCATTTCTTAATGTTCAAGCAAAGATCATTTGCTTGACAATATGCACTAAGCTTACATAGATCTTCTTGAAGTAGATGGCAGTCCTCTATAGTTTTAATAGACCTGAAAATTTTCATATCATCTGCAAAAAGGAGAATATTGGAATTATGGAAGCAGGATATAACATCGTTTATAAATATTATAAGCAGTAGTGGACCAAGATGGGAACCCTGAGGAACACCTGATGAAACTGGGAGAAATGATGAACAGTATCCCTTTATTGCAACCGCCTGACTACGATTTCTAAGATAAGAGGATATCCATCGAAGTAAATCACCATGTACACCGATTTGATCTGATTTATGTATCAAAATATCATGTGAAATTTAGTCGTAAATTTAACGTCCATAGCAGTATAAAGATGATCAAGAAATTCGCAGAGATTACTTTCTGTAGACTTTCGACTTATAAAACCATGTTGTTCAGGAATTATAATTGGTCGAATAATTTGAGAGAGTGTGTCATAAATAATTTTCTCAAATAGTTTTGGAATCGAGCTTAATTTTGAAATAGGACGCATTTTAGCATTAACAACAACACTCAAACTGACCATTTTGAGGTAAAGTTACATAAATGTAAGAGTACAACAGATAGACTAAATTTTGATTGTCCTACTATGCATAAAGTAGAAGAAGTAAAATACTTGAGTATATTATTAGACAAAAGACTGTTTTGGTACACACATTTTGAATACTTCACGCAAAGAATAAGAAAACTTACACGGATTTTCAAGACA